AATAGGGTTGCTCTGTTATTTTTACCTTTAATTTTCCTCATACCGCCTTTATATTCACAGTCCTCATAAGTGCCTAAGATAATTTATTGTTGTTGAACTGTTGGTTTTACAAAGTTTTATCCTGCATTTTATCCATGGTTGTGTATTATTCCTTTTTGCAAAGCTAATGCCACAAGCAAAATAAAATCTATAGTTTATTTAGTCATAATCAATTACTAATTCTTCCAGAAGATTGTAGAGGAGAAATTCAGTTGATTTGGGGCCTCACAGAGATTGAGAGCCAATGAATTATCGTGCAACCACATTTGAGAGCTCTGGGAACCAAAATCTGTATAATTTCATGCACCTAATTAAATGGCACATATTTTTCTGACATGACTTTTTTGATGCCAATAATTTTGCTTCTTTACAACTCTAAAATAATTAATAGATGATATGTTCCTCCATATCAGACAGAAAAAAATTAAAAGTGGGCAGAAACCTCAGCTGGTGCAAATCAGGGTAATTTCTACCTCCGAGGATCTGGCTCAGAGACTTTTCTTAAATTAATATGTTCATGAAAGGTATTGGCTTGTCAGATCTGAAGAATGAACTCTTCTAATTATCCACAGAACAGATAGTGCATCAGCACAGCAATGCAAGATCCCTGAGTTGTTCCACCAATTTTCCTCAACTGTGACCTTTATGGACCAATTCTAAAGTGCTACTCTTCCAACCACTTTTGGCCCTAAGCCTCAGTTCTGACATTGGTAACAAGACTGCTAAATCTTGCCAGTTGTAGCAATGATTTTTGTCATGTGGTCCTAGCTCCTGTAAAATGTTCTAGGGCCATCAGGGCCAGAGCTTCCACTAGGCAACCCTAGGCGGTCGCCTAGGGTAGCAGGATTTGAGGGGCGGCATTTTGCCGCCCTCAGCGGAAATTTGACAGCAGGGGGCAGGCCTTCTGCTCTGGGGCTTCAGCGAAAATTCAGCAGCGGGTCCTTCACCCGCTGCCGAAGTGCCCCGAAGACGCGGAGCGGAAGGACCCCCGCCGCCGAATGCTCAGAGGGCGGCAAAAACCCTGGTGCCACTCCTGAGGGCCATTAACATTTCACATAGACCACCAAACTGCCAGCAAATCATAACACATTTTCATTACTACTAACTTTGGCTGGATTTGAACCAGTGACCTACAGGTGAAAGGCTAAAAGCAGGAAAAGCCTCTGTTCTATCAGATCTGGTAGGCTAGATAAAGAATTTGGTTTGGGAAATAGAATTAGCCACCAGAGGGAGCCAATACAGTCCTGTAAAAAATAATCCTAACATTTGAAATTAAGGAAAGCATCATTAAAATTTGTATATAAGAATCACGGCAACTTACATGTAGATGTAAAATGTTAAGAAAAGTGTATGAGTATACTGAAAAACAAAAGTAACCAAGCCCTACAATTGCACTTCCAATAGTTCAGTCCCATAGAAAAGAGATATTGTTCTTTTTCTACTTACATGAGAGTTACCCGTATTTATAATTATATAACAAGTAAAACACAATTGCTTCAAAACACTGGGCATTTGGCAACAATGTAACAACCACATAGTAATTCTCTGGGAAATGGTATATACATAGTAACTTGTAATACAGTTATTGATTACTTTTTAAATAACTAAAGTCACTACTGTAAATGACTTAGTAATATTTATTTTTCTTCCAGTCTAGACTACAGAGCAGTAGACTCTAAAATTCTAATTAAAAGCAAAACCGTTTTTAGTTAAAGGAGTACCCTCTCTCCCTCTCTCTTTCTAACATTGGAGTTCTCTTTATTCTTTCCTTGTTTCCATTTCTATAGCTGAAGATTGTCTGCACTGTTATTTTTTCAAATATGAGGAAAAATAAATTTGCTAGATGGGGTTCCTGTTTGCAAGTTTCAACCTAAAGATTGTACTTATGGCAGTCAAAACCCCCAGAAAAAATGCTGAAATAAACTTACAAATAAATGAGACAAACAGTAAATTTAGTTCAATGAAAGGCCGGACAAATCTGCAAACCTCATTCTATAGAAGCAGTCCTGACAACAGCAATGTAAGCTGTGCTGTCCTGCCAAGGTACCCCAGCCCTAATGGGGGAGGGAGGTGACCTTGTCTAAAGACAAGAGAGTATGTCAGAGCTGATGGTCATCTCTACTGAAATGGAAGACTCTGTTGCAAATTAGTGCCAAATATGATGATGATGTGGACAGCTGTCTGCTAGAAAGATGACTAAGGGCCTGATCCAACTCTCACTGAAATCAACAGAAGTTTTTCCATTGACTTCAGTGGGAGTTCAATTGAGCTCCCTGTGAAGCAATCGGCTCTGAAGAACTGAGCACAGGACAGATAATCAGCAACTCCTAATTTCAGTGTTGCCACCAAGTTGCTGTGTGGCCTCTTAGTTAATGTTAACTTCTCAATTTACCTCTCTGTAAAATAGAGACAGTAATACTTGTCTATCTCACAAGGATGTTGACTGGTTAGTTATTGTTAAGCATTATAATATTTATTTATAGTTATTACATATACCTCCCAATGAGATAGTAATGGACTATAGGCCAAATCCTGTACTGAGAAATATGTCTGCCCTCACAGATCCAGTCGTAGCCCTTCCAAGTGAAAGACACTTTGTCTATTCCATTATCCGTCTTCACTCAGCTGTCTGGTTTCTTGCATAATTTACCAGAATGGTGTTGGTTTTAAATAGAAAAAGACCACATAGACCTGCTATTAATCTTTTGTTACCATAGATTGGAGCAATGATTTCACTTCCATCTTTTTCATATATTGTATGAAAGATTATACAAAAAATCTGTTGATATATAAATAATTGTATATATATACTCAAAACCCTTTAAAAAATTCACAGTAAGTTGAGGACATTTGCCTTAGAAATCCAACAGAGTTAATGTAAGCCATTTCCTTCTAGGTTTTGGGTTTGTTTGTTTTTTTGTGGGGAGGGAGAACCACCATCAGCCTTATTAATACTGAATGCTAAGTGCAGAAGTTTAGCTGTAGCTGTAGAGTTTTGAAGCAATTGATTTGACAACCTCTATGCATAAAACCCTTTTTTAAAAATCCACATTTATTCCCCAGATTGCTTATTGTTTCATAAAAATAAAAACTTACATAGCTTGCTGGTATCAACTTGATCTCATAAAACTGTTCAATTAAATCTTGTAAAACCAGTACTTTATGCTACGTCAGTGTCCTGGAAGTGCTTATGAACATTGAAGTAATTCAGGATGGTAATGAGCAATTATAACTTCTGCTATCTTGTATAATTTAATTTACTTTGTTTTTTGTATAAAACCTTAAGTTGCACCACAAGAAGTTCACAGATCTGAGAAAATTAAAGTCAGTATCAAGTTTTACTATAGACCATATAATTTACATAGATTTACATAAATACAGATATATTAAAAATTTAAATCTAAGCTAATTAAACAGAAGGTAGAGTTTTAAATGTGAGAGATTTTAAAACCTAAATACATTTCTGCAACTACTTTTAGTGGCAGCAGAATTTTTTACACACACACACACACACACACACACACACACCAGGCTTCTCTCTCTCTCTGTGTCTCTCTCTCCCCCCTCCTTTTTCTTCCAAAATAGGGCAATTTTATAATCGCAATAAGATATGACAGGCAGTACACTTCTGGGGAATTATTGCATGCCTTGAGTGTATAAGGCAAAAGGAAGAATGACTGACTTCAGACACCAGGGGAGCGGAATCATCAACCAGAAATGCACTGAAGTGATGTGAAACATCTTATTGCTTTTACAAAATTGAAAATTATACATTGTTTAAAAAGACAAAAAAGGAAGGAAAAAGTAATATTTCTGTTTAGTGGAGATCACCAACAACCAGGAAACTCCACTGCTAATCACTGAATTCTCTTCATTATTCCATGATGGTTCATTAATGAGCTGCAATTGTACAAGGGGGTCAAACACAAAAGTTCATCTATTCCACACTGGAAAAAAAGGGATAGCCTACTTTCTTATCCAAAGAGAACAAAATAATCATTAGCAGCTGATCATAGCTGCGATGAGAATTAGATGCCAGTCTCATCAAACTGCAATGTAAAAATATTATTAACTAGACATATTTTACCCCACTGAGCTGAGCAGATGGAGTAGCAACTTTAGTTGGATGATGGAGCATTTGCCTAAAATGCTGGAGACATATATTCTAGCTCAACAGAGATTTCTCATCTGATTAGCTAGAAGTGAAACAGAAGACATATGGGGTGGATATACAGTACCACAACCTCTGCATTTTGGTGCTGTAATAGGATTACAAATACCAGTAAATGCTCTATCTACTGCCCCATCCCAACACCACATTTCTCCATCTTTAATTTAAGCAACTGTATTAGTCACCTGTTAAGTACTCCAGTACCTCCCATTTTGTACATATTTTTAAAACATAACATCCATCTTTTCCACCAGGATTTGGAGGGGAGAGGGGATTCTACAGAGAACATAAATTAAAGATAGTTGGAAATTACGTCCAACAGGTATTTATTTCTAGTGTGTATCTGGGAAAACATCCTCTTGGATTATTTTTTGTCTTTGTGTTTACTATTCATTAGCATCACCTCTGATCTAATACTACCACCAGGAGAGGTTTCAAAGTTTAGATAGGGCCATTCTATTAAGGCACCGTTTGCAAGTCATGGTGACTGGTTTAAGTGTTTAGTCGAAGCTGCATTTACTGTAATTAAATTTGCCTTGGATTCCCCCAACACATACAGTAACAAGCAGCCACTCAGACACTTCCTTCCATAGTCAAATAACTGTTGGTCCTTTCCTGGGAGACCTACATCAGCCTCTTTTGAAATATTAACCATGATTTAATAGACGGCATTTTCACACATCCATTAGGGTTTTGTTCGGGGCTTGGGGGAGGCAGAGATATTCATAACAGTCTAGTACAGGTTCAGAAGATATAAAAATGCCTTAAAAAGTAGAAGCCAGATCTGTACTGCTGCTGAATTCATTATTCAATGGGTAAAAGCTATAAACGAAGAGGAATATACAGTGTACAGTGCATAGTACAGAACAACATTTTGCTTCAGTACCAACAGGAGGTATAACAAGGGCACACCTCTTTAAAATAAATAATCAAACATTCTGAGGGGGTAAACTACTGCACATCACGTAATACTCTGTTAGCAAAAAAAAAAGATTCCTTATTCCAGGTTTAATAGAACGAATGGAGTATTACACTAGAAAGTGACTTGGGGTGGGCTGGGGTGGGTGTAGGGGAAAAGACGTAACAGCCCACTGCCTCCCATACAAGAAGCACTGCTAGGCTGCTTTCAAGCGTCGGGACACACGGGGCACCGGCTATTGCAGAGAGAGAGAAGCGAGAGCTAAGGGGCTTACCATGGAGTGGGGAAGGAGCGGGAGGGCTGTCGTTTTACTTGCACTCAACCAGGGGAGGACATTTCTAAAGAAAACAATATCCAGTCTTTGGAGAGGGAGAGAGTTATTGATGCAGAAGAAGAGACCCTACAGAAAGATCGGGTCTTTCTCCGCCCCTGGCAAAAGGTCCCTGCCTTTCGCCATGAGCTGCACTCATCTCCTTTGTTTGAGAGACTAAGGATCCCACTGCATCGTTCAGATCACTCTTTCTTTGTCTCTCACCCTGTGCCATGCCCTCCCTCCCCCCAATCTAAACTGTTCGTTTATAACATACAATTTGGGATAAGCCCAGGAGAGGAATGGGGGGAAAATATCTTCTCGATCCTTATGATAACTCTGTGCATCACACTGGGATCCCCCACCCCCACGCCTCCGGGCAGATGACTGTATATTTGGTAGCACTGTGCAGCTTCTTTTCCGTTAAAAAGACGCATCCTTTCTTTGCACAGTCAATGAGAAACGCAGCGTGATTTGTCATGCGCTTGAATTGTGGGTTTGTTCGTTCGTTTTAATTAATAACTTTTCTTTTCAGAGCCTACAATCATCACTGAAGTATTTACAAACACCAAACAGAGCCTTGGCGAGGTCCCCCCAAAATAATCATGACAATACCACGGTTTGCAGGAGCCCCGCACTAGCTGTGTCCAAACAAGATCTTGCCGGGTGAGCGCTCCGGGGCTCCGGGGGAGACGGGCGCTGGATTCCCGAGTCCTGGGTGGAGCTTCCCAGCCGGGGGGTTCTTCCAGGGGGTGTCTCTCCCTGAATACCTGCCTCGGGGCTGCTGCTGCTGCAGTGGTCCCGTTCATATTCCTCCTGAGCCCTCTGCATTTTCCGCTTCTTCATCTTCCTCTTGTGGACGTGGAAGGTGGTGAGGGAGAGGAGGATCAGGCAGAAGATGAGGGTGACCAGGACGATTAAAACCAGAGTGGAAGAGAAGGACTGAAAGAGCTGCCCCACCTGCGCGATGCAGGTGCTGCTGGCGTTGGAGGAGGCAGATGTCCTGTTCAAGAGACAAGGTGGCAGAGACAGCCTCAACTCCTTGGAGAGCTTGGCACTCATTGAGGAGGCTTAAGAAGATGAGGATCTTCCTCTTCTCCCTGCAGATGCTTGAATTTGAATTGGTTCCGGGCTGGGGGTTTGCACTGGCTGGAAATGCGCTGGACGCGGCTGGCTCTCTGGAGATGTCAGATGAAAGATCAAGCCTGCAAAGGGACCCAGAGGAATCAGTGTTCGGGACCCAAATCAAGAAACACACAATTCACCGGCTGCCACCAAAGCCTCCCACCAGCCCCAACAGGGTACAAAGTCGTCTAAACTCCGGCACACTGGGGGATGCTGCCTGATTGACAAACCACGCGCATTACAGAGAGTTCCCAACCCAACCCAGCGTCCCTGAAATAGACCAGCCCCAGCCCACTGGTTAGACGGCTCGAGATGTCTTCAGCCCTGCCAGCCCGAAGCGATGCTGGCCGTGCCCTAAGACGGGGGGAGCGATGCACCAATGCGGCGGCACCTGATCGGCTCCAGTTACTCCGCACAGGGGGCAGCTTTGCCGGGCATTTCCCAACAAGTTCCCAATGACACCAGCCGCCGCCGCGGGATCCCCGGTGTCCCCGGCGCGCTGCCCAGCCCGCCCCAGAGGCAGGCGGCACCCGAAGTTGGGACTCCGGCGGCGGCTGGTTCTTCACGCGCCTCTGGCTAGAGCAGAACGCGGGCCCCGACGGGCTGCCCCGGGCCCTGCTGCCGGGCACGGGCGGGGGCACGCGCCTTACCTGGGCTGCCACTGGCTGGAGGGAGCCCCCGGCCGCGCGCTCGCCGAGGCTGCAGAAGGCGCCGAATGAAGCGGGCAGAGCCGGAGCCGGAGCCGGCGCCGCTTCAGGGAGCTCAGCGCGCAGCCTATCGCCAGCCCGGCCGGTGACGTCAGGCAGCCAGTGCCGGCTCCGCTCCCCCGCGGCTCGGCTGGGCGGAGAGGGGCAGCCCCGAGCGGGCACCCCGCCCCCCCCCCACTTACCTAGCCATCCCGCCCCGCCCCCCACAGGACAATTCCCCCCACCTATGTACCCCCTCATCCATCCCCCCACAGGCCGATACCCCCCCACCTACCTACCCACCCCGTCCCCCCCCGGCCGATACCCCCCACTTACCTAGCCATCCCGCCCCGCCCCCCACAGGCCAATTCCCACCAAACCTACCCACCTACCTACCCACCCCGCCCCCACCTCTACCCCTCCTGCCACAGGCCAATACCCCCCACCCTGTCCCACGCCTCTCCCCCCACAAGCTAATACCCCCACCCCTTCCCCTACAGACCAATACTCCCCACCCTGCCCCCACCCTCCTCCCCTCCTCCCCCCATAGACCCATCTCATCACCATCCCACACAGACCAATACCCCCATTTACCCATCCCCCACAGACCTACCCACCTCATCCACCCAACCCACACAGATCCAGCCCACCCCCGCACATACCAATACTCCCCACAGACCCACCCCACACATACCTACCCACCCATCCACCCAACCTCCACACATACCAATACCCCAGAGACCCACCCTTCCCCCACCCTACCTACCCCTACCCCCACAGACCTACTCCACCCCATCCCACCTACTCATCCACCTACCCTCATTCCGCATAGACCTACCCCACCCACCTACATACTCATCCTACCCCCACACATACCAGTACCCCCATAGATCCATCCTACCTCCACACATACCTACCCAATATGCCATTGCCAAACTGCTTCTCCCAACCCAATCCCACACATACCTATTTAGTGCCCCACTGCCAACCCCTTTCCCCAGAAGTTCTCAAAGTTTTGTACTGGTGACCCCTTTCACATAGCAAACCTCTGAGTGTGACCCCACCCCCCATAACTTTCAACACTTTCAAAATATGTAACAACATTATAAATGCTGGAGGCAAAGCAGGATTTGGGGTGGAGGCTGACAGCTCGTGACCCCCCATGTAATAACCTCACGACCCCCTGAGGGGTTCTGACCCCCAGTTTGAGAACCCCTGCCTTACCCTAATCTCCCACACACATCTAATAACCCAACTCCCAAACCTCCACTCCCCAGGCCCTCAACTTTCCCTAAACTCTTTCTCCCATATATATCCACTTCTCCACATCCAAATCTTATTCACTGAACACACTCCACCACACATACTTACCCAATAAACTCACTTCCCAATATCCCCTTCCCTAATGCCCAACCTGCCATATATATCTAATACCATCCAATATTCCTACTCCCTTTACCCCATTTCCCTAATGCGCCCCACATATAACCAGACCCTCAAACCCCATTCTCCTAACTCCAGCTCCATATTTACTCAATACACCTACCCATTACATTCCCTTCCCCTAAGCCCCACCCACTTACATAACCAATATCCCTTTCACTAAATTTTTACCTCCATACATAATCAATGCCCCCACTCTCCCACTCCATACAAACCCAATTCTCTCACACTCATACATACCAAAGTCCCCATCCCTCATGCAAACCCACAACTCCCATGCCCTCTTTCTCTACCACTACACAACATACAGTACATACTCACTCTCTTCACCCAAGCATCTTCCATCCCCATACATACCCAATTCTTATCCTCTATATACATCCACTTTCCCATACCACATGTACACACACATACTGCCCTACTTCCATATTCCCTTCCTCATACATGTGCACACCACTCATACTCACTGAACCCCATTTCCATACCCCCCTCACCTACATGTAATATCTGAGGACTGATTTAATGCTAACAGCCCCATGGGGAGAAAATGACAGCCAAGGATTACAGCAGCATCAGGGCATTCTGTCCATGCTCCCTTTCCTCTGACCATGTCTTCTATGCCAGTGGCTCTCAACCTTTCCAGACTACTGCACCCCTTTCAGGAGTCTGATTTGTCTTGTGAACCCCAAGTTTCACCTCACTTAAAAACTACTTGCTTACCAAATCAGACATAAAAATACAAAAGTTTCACAGCACCCTACTACATTTCAGTGTGATACTTGAGCCTATTTTTCACTTGTGAACCTCATCTGAAGCCAGAGCACCAGATGGCAGGGCTGACGTCTGAGCCCCGCTGTCTGGGGCTGAAGCCTGAGCCCTGCTGCCTTAGACTGAAGCATGTAACTTAGCTTTGTGGGGGCCCCTGTGGTGTGAAGCCCCAGACAGTTGCCCTGCTTGCCATGCCCTAATGCTGGCCCTGCACTTTCAACCCCCCTAAAACCAACTCTTGACACACACACCCTGGGGTTGAAACCCCGAAGTTGAGAAAACCTAATCTAGATGAGTTGAGTACCCCCTGGAAGACCTCTGCGTATCCCCAGGGGTATGCATACCCCTGGTTGAGAACCACTGCTCTATGCCAGCAGCCAGGTGGGCAACACAGAAGCCACTATACTGAGTCTTTGTCACTAAAACATCCCTCTTGTTATGCCTGTTTGGCCAGAATCCACCAACCGTGTGACATAAAGCAACTGCACTTCAGGATCTAGCTCTTTAAGTCTAAAATTTTCCTTCCATTTAAATGCTATCCATTCCCTTGGTTAAATGCAATGCATTCAGCATCATATAAGTCTGTGATCTTTTGGCGCTTTTTAAAAAACAGTCACAATAACAAGCACAGAGCATGTTTGTTTTTTTGTAAATGTTAAATAATTTTTAGTGTTTATGTACAGGATTGACAGCCACATAGAATTAAGTCCTCTGATACAACACAGGCATGATCACTGAAGCTTCCCTACACTGCCCCACCAATGTGCTCCAAACTTGTTCTGGAGAGGCTAGAAGGTAGTTCAGTCTCTCTGTCCATTGAATCTTTAGCCTCTAGGGCTGAGTGCTCTAACCTAGTGGTTTTCAATCTGTGATCCACGTACCTCTGAAGGTCCGCAGACTATGTTTAAGATTTCCAAAGGGGTGTGCAGTGCACCTCCATTGGAAATGTTTTAGGGGTCTGCAAATGAAAAAAGGTTGAAAGCCACTGCTCTAACCAGGGTATCACTTAGTGCCAGGTTTAGTGGTACTTTTATGATATGGACATTGGCCTACTAGGAAAGTTGGGTGGTAACCACCAACTCATATGCCGAACACCACTTAAAAGTCATCAGATGGTTAAAAAGTGTTTTCAAAAAGAGCATAAAAATGGACATTTATATAGGAGCCAGTATCTTGAGCTATAATACTGGTGTAATGTTATCTTATGGTGCTTGTCCTGTTTATGAAGTAGTAAGCATATCTTGTACTGAATAAATTCCAAGGCCTAATAATGTATTAGCTCAGAATGTGCCTATTACAAAAGTTAATAGGTACTACAGTTATTCTACTAAAACATTTCATTACATCAACAGAGGGTCCTGTGGCACTTTTAAGACTAACAGAAGTATTGGGAGCATAAGCTTTCGTGGGTAAGAACCTCA